GGCACATATCTGTAATCCCCGTTACTCAGGAGGCTGAGGTATAAGAATGGCTTGAACCTAGGAGGCAGAGGTTGCAGTGAGCTGAGATTACACCACTGCACTTCAGCCTGGGCAACAGAACAATACTCTGTCTCAAAAAACAAACAAGAAACAGCACAAAACTCACATAATGCAAAATTTAAAATAAAATCCAGTATTTAAGAATATACTTCTGGGGGTGGTGACTCACATGTGTAATCTCAGCACTTTGGAAAGCTGAAACAGGAGTATCATAGGGGCCAGGAGTTTGAGACCAGCCTGGGCAACATGGTGAGACCCCGTCTCTAAAATGAAAAATAAAAAAATTAGCCAGGCATGGTGGTGCACACCTGTAGCCCCAGCTACTTGGGAGGCTGAGGTGGGAAGATTGCCTGAGCCCAGGAGGTCGATGCTGCAGTGAGCCATGTTTGTACCACTGCACTCCATAGCCTGGGTGACAGAGTGAGACCCTGCCTTAAGAAACAAAACAAAAAAAAAAAGCAAAAACAAATGAACACATTTAGCATTCAATAACATCATCCCATAGTGTACATGAACAATTTTGACAACAGTTTAGGAACATTAACGTATTACTTCTTAAAAATTACCCAAAGACTGCTATTTAAATATTTGCAGTTTATCTGCTTCTTGGCTGAGCTCCCTTTGTTAATGTGTAGAAGACAGAGAGGCAGAATGGTAATGCTTGCCATTAAGTTCCCTCCCTCTCACATCCCATCGTCTCCTAACTATTTCTGCATGGAAGCCCTGAAGAAAGTTTAACTGCTTTGAATTGCCTTCAGTGACTCTTGGGAACATCTGTGAATAGGAGAAGGAAGCTAATCATGCTGGTCAAAAATCTACAAAAAAGGCATTTCTCAAGTCACAGGAGACATAGCATGGCCTCTACAAGGTACCTTTGGTCCCAGATAACAGACATCTTCCAAACTGTACATGTGTTCACTAATTCTTTACAATATTTTTAAAAATGTACTATCCAGCGGTATTCTTTTTAACCACTATTAGTTTTCAAACCAGCTATTCTACCCCTGGATAATCTAACACTGATCAGTGTATCTTATATATGCAAAACCTGAAATATTTTTTTTTTTTTTTTTTTGAGACGGAGTTTCGCTCTTGTTGCCCAGGCTGGAGTGCAATGGCACGATCTCGGCTCACCGCAACCTCCGCCTCCTGGGTTCAGGCAATTCTCCTGCCTCAGCCTCCTGAGTAGCTGGGATTACAGGCAAGCGCCACCATGCCCAGCTAATTTTTTTGTAGTTTTAGTAGAGACGGGGTTTCACCATGTTGACCAGGATGGTCTCGATCTCTTGACCTTGTGATCCACCCGCCTCGGCCTCCCAAAGTGCTGGGATTACAGGCTTGAGCCACCGCGCCCGGCAAAACCTGAAATATTTTAATAGCATGTTGATCTCCTGGTCCCATGTGATCTGCCTGCCTCCGTTTCCCAAGTGTTGGGGATTACAGGGGTGAGCCACTGTGCCTAGCCTAATTTTTGTATTTTTAGTAGAGGCAGGGTTTCGCCATGTTGGCCAGGCTGGTCTCGAACTCTGGTTTCAGGTGATCTGCCAACTTCAGCCTCCTAAAGTGCTGAGATTACAGGCATGAACCACTGTGCCCAGCCGGAAAAAAATCTTCATGTAAGTGGACTCATGCAGTTCAAGCCCACGTTGTTCATGGGTCAACTGTATGCATTAGCTGTACTCTCCATTTCTCCCTCCCTCCAGACTCTGGTAACCACAGAAAGAACTACTTTCTGTGTCTATGAACTTTTATAATCTTGGTATTTCATATAATTGGAATCATACTATATATGGACTTTTGTGCCTGGTGTCACTTAATGTGTTTTCATAATGAAAACTGTTTTTAAGCATGTGTCAGTATTTGCTCCCCGGCTCATGTCTGCATAACTCCATTTTTTTTTTTTTTTTTTTTTTGAGACAAGAGTATCACTGTGTCTTCCAGGCTGGAGTGCAGTGGCATGTTCTTGGCTCACTGTCACTATTGTCGCCCAGGCTCAAGTGATCCTCCCACCCCAGCCTTCCAGGTAGCTAGGATTTTAGGTGTATACCACATGCCTGGCTAATTTTTGTATTTTTTGTAGAGATGGGGTTTTGCCATGTCACCCAGGCTGGTCTTGAACTTCTGGACTCCAGCCGTCTCCCCACCTTGGCCTCCCAGAGTGCTGGGATTATGGGCGTGAGCTACTGCACCTGGCTGTAACTTTGACTACATCTATTCTCTCATCTGCTCTGACTGACCCTCCTGCTTCTCTCTTTCACTTACTTTGGGCCCACCCAGACAATTTAGGATAATCTTCCCATCTGAAGATCCTTATCATCTGCAAAGTCCTTTTTTGCTGCATATGGTAACATTCACAGGCTTTGGGGATTAAGACACGTACATCTTTGAGAGGCCCATTATTCTACCTAACTATGGACTTTAGATCTTTTATCATTATCCCACCATTCCCTAAGGCTCTGTTCTTTTTTTTTTTTTTTTGAGACAGAGTTTCACTCATGTTACCCAGGCTGGAGTGCAATGGCGCGATCTCGGCTCACCGCAACCTCCGCCTCCTGGGTTCAGGCAATTCTCCTGCCTCAGCCTCCTGAGTAGCTGGGATTACAGGCACGCACCACCATGCCCAGCTAATTTTTTGTATTTTTGGTAGAGACGGGGTTTCACCATATTGACCAGGATGGTCTCGATCTCTTGACTTGTGATCCACCCGCCTCGGCCTCCCAAAGTGCTGGGATTACAGGCTTGAGCCACCGCGCCCGGCCTCTTTTTTTTTTTTTTTCAGTCTGTTTTCTCTCTGTTGTTTAGATACAGCAAACTATTGATCTTTTCTTCACGTTCACCAAATTTATCTTCTGTCATTTCCATTCTCCTATTGAGTCTATCCAGCAAATGTTTTATTTTGGTAATTGTATGTTTCAGTTATATAATTTCCATGTGGTACTTTAAAAGTAACTTCTTGGCCGGGCGCAGTGGCTCAAGCCTGTAATCCCAGCACTTTGGGAGGCCGAGGCAGGCGGATCACAAGGTCAGGAGATTGAGACCATCCTGGCCAACATGGTGAAACCCCGTCTCTACTAAAAATACAAAAATTAGCTGGGGGTGGTGGCATGCACCTGTAGTCCCAGCTACTTGGGAGGCTGAGGCAGGAGAATTGCTTGAACCCGGGAGGCGGAGGTGGCAGTGAGCCAAGATTGTGCCACTGTACTCCAGCCTGGCGACAGAGTGAGACTCTGTCTCAAAAAAAAAATGTAGCTTCTTTGCTGAGATTTTCTGCTTTTTATTTGTTTCAATTCTTTTTTCTTTTTTTTGTTTTGAGATGGAGTCTCACTCTGTTGCCAGGCTAGAGCGCAGTGGTGCAATCTTGGCTCACTGCAACCTCCACCTCCTGGGTTCAAGTGATTCCCATGCCTCAACTCCTGAGTAGCTGGGATTTCAGTACTGCACCACCACACCAAGCTAATTTTTGTATTTTTAGTAGAGATGGAGTTTTACCATGTTGGCCAGGATGGTCTTGATCTCCTGATCCATCTACCTTGGCCTCCCAAAGTGCTGGGATTACAGGTGTGAGCTACAGCACCTGGTCTGTTTCAAAAGATTTTGTAATTGTTTGTAGAAGCCCTTTTGTGATGGCTGCTTTAAAATTCTTGTGAGATAATTCCAACAACTGATTTGTTTTGGTGCTGGCATCAGTATGATCATCTTTTTTTTTTTCCTCATTCAAGTGTGCTTTTCCTGGCTCTTGGTATGACATGTCATTTTTTTGTTTTGTAATTGTATCTTGGACATTTAGGTTATTATGTGAGGAGACTTTTTTTTTTTTTTTTTTTAAATGAGACTGGGTCTTGCTATGTTTCCCAGGCTGGTCTCTAACTCCTGGCCTTAGACGATCCTCTTGCCTCAGCCTCCTGATTATCTAGGATTACAGGTGCATGCCATTGCACCTGGCTGAGACTCTTTATCCTGTTTAATTCTTCTATTTTAATAGGCAGTTACCCTATTTAGGTTTAGTGTATAGCTCTTGTCCTACTTTTGTGAGCTGTAATCCTATGGTAATTCAGTTTTCAGATCGCTTGCAATGCTATCTTCTTCTATTTGATTCTTCTAGAACTCTCATTTATTCAGCTAGAACTCCCATTCTATCTCTGCAGCTCCCTGGGCTGACTTGTGGGTGTGGGGCCCTGGCTCTGCTGCTGCTAAGGCCAGATTGACTTGACATTGCCACAGGTGTGGGGCAGATACCAGGCTGGCACTGTGGTGAATCTGGCCGGCCACTGTTTCAGGTCTAGTGTGGAGACCCTGCTGATGCTGCAGTGGATTGGGTTCACCACTATCCTGGATGGGGACAGGAAAATGTATCTCTCTGCTAGGTCTCTGCTGAGCTGCCCTTTTCACAGTCTGTTGGCCAGAGACAGCAGAGTTTTCTCATTTATTTATTTGTCTTTATCTACCTACCTTATCCATCCATTTGTGATGTTCGTTCCAGTTTGCAAGCCTCCCTAGTGTCCAGTCTGGGATATTTGGGAGGTAAAGGGAAAACCCAGTAAACTTACTGTGGTGTTTTCTTGAAGTCTTGAGATCCCTAACTAGTCTACTTCTCTTTCTACATTTCAGAATCTTCTTATGATTGTTTGTTGAATTATTTTTCTGCTATTTTGTTGTATTTGGAGCGGAGGAGTGAGGAAATGTGAGCCTATGCCATTGTTTTCAAGAACTGGAATCCTAGCAGCTTTGAAATTTATGTTTGCACTGGTATTTATTGGCAATACATATGAAATGGTTGAGGCTTTTGCTTTAACTGACACTCTTTAGAGTGTTTTTCTGCATCTGTTATGCACTGTAGGAACAAGATAAGGATTACTTTTGTTTAAATTGTATGGAAATTAAAAATGTCATGTTTTTATATATCCATCCACTTATTTACTCTTTTATATATTTGTTTTTAGGGAGTGGAGCAACTGCTGTGGTCCAAGCAGCTTATTGTGCCCCTAAAAAGGAGAAAGTGGCAATCAAACGGATAAACCTTGAGAAATGTCAAACTAGCATGGATGAGCTCCTGGTATGCACATCTCATACTTCTTAAATGGAGAGATATAGTCGTATATATTCGTGTCACAGTGGGAAATAACTTGAAGTTTTTGATTTTTTTTTAAAGGTTAATGATTTCTTCATAAATAATGTTCATTGCAAAATTTATAGTCTGGATAAGTAGAAAGAAAAAAATTAGTTATAATTTTCTTACTCTGAGATTAACCTTTACTATATAACCTTTCAGAGTGAACATTTTAATATATTTGTATTTTTGTGATAATGTAATCATATGCCCTTTTCATTTAACAATTTATCATAGAACTTTTTCTGTGTCTGTAAATATGGATCAGTATCATTTACAACGTATATAGTATTCTGTTGAATAGACCACAATTTATTACACTGCCATACAAATATGAACTAATACTGTTATTTTATTAAGTCATTTCTTTAAGAGGGTACACAGCTGTGGTAGAAAGGTCAGGGATTAGGACTGGAACGACCTGTACATCTAGAAGTTTTTTTCACTGTCCCAAATTGTGTTTTATTTCTGGCGGTATCTATGGTTAATTTTAGGGAATAATTGGAATTAAAGAAAGAGGTAATGGAGTTATATATTGCATAATATATAATTATATATGAGATGGATGAGACTAATGTATTTCTTCAGGATTGGTAATGTATGAGCAGAAACTGAAGGAATTGGTTGCTGGAATGATTTTGAGCCATCTTTGGTGAGAGAATGCGTACTTGGAAGGAAATGCTGATTGAAATCTTATTTAAAGATCTTGGATTGATACATACCATAATACTTTAGAGCACCATTTAGACATTTGAACTGCAGTGATGATAAAATATTTGTCTATAACTGTAAACTAATTCTGTTAAAGAAAAACAAAAATTTTAACCTACATATTAAGACTAAAATTTGAGAAGTCCAATATGAAGCCCTATCATTTGCCAGTTATTTAATTGATAAGGATAGAGTAAAATGAATGAAAGTCTTATTATTTAAACTACTTCATGATTAAGCTGAGGTTTAAGGTTTAAATAACGTAAGTTCACATGATGATAATAGCAAACATCTTTCAGTACTAGGCCCTGCAGTGTACTTTAACCTTACACACATTTCTATGAGCTACGTAATAGCTCTGTTTTATAGATGAAGGAAGTAAATCATATAATAAATAACAGAGTCTGGATTAAAAATCAGGTCTATCAGGTCTATTATTGTCTACTTAACAAAATGATTATAGCCTTAGTTCAAAAGTAGGAAGAACATTTCTTTTCTTTTCTTTTTTTATTTAAGATGGAGTCTCACTGTCTCCCAGGCTGGAATGCCATGGTGTGATCTCGGCTCACTGTAACCTCCACCTCCTGGGTTCAAGTGATTCTCCTACCTCAGCCTCCTGAGTTGCTGGGATTACAGGCACACGCCACCACACCCAGCTGATTTTTCTGTTTTTAGTAGAGATGGGGTTTCACCATGTTGGCCAGGTTGACCTTGAACTCCTGATCTCAGGTGATCCGCCTGCCGCAGCCTCCCAAAGTGCTGGGATTACAGATGTGAGCCACCGTGCCTGGCCAAACATTTCTTTTTAAATATCATTTGACATTCTTGAAAGCAATATTTTTGTTCTTACAGTGGCGGCTTTTAGAGGAATGCAAATTTATTATATCTTATTAAAAAGAAAAAATTAGATATATGTACATTTTGCTCATGTTTCAATACGTTTTATGTTGCAAATATAGTTTGCATATATTAATACTTGGCAAATAAATAAAGGGGAAAAGTAAATTTTAGTAAAGCAAGTTTAAGATACTTGGGTTTTTGGGGTTGGGGAAGGCAAGCCCGCAAGATCTCACCAGATACTGATGAAATATCAGGAATGTAGAGAATACCTAGTTTATTTGTGGTACCAGGACCTGTTCTATGGGATACCAAGATCTGAGTGCCAGGGACTCTATTTCTGAGTGATGTGAAGCCCTTCAGTTTACCTTAAAAAAATCTATAAGATCAATGTACTAAACTTTTGATGTTGTGATATTAAAATTTATTTACAAAGCTATCTTTGGGTTCTCCAAAGAACACTGTTGTCTTTGGGTTCTCCAAAGAGCACTCATGTAAACTGGGCTAACAGGTGTGTATCGTGTGATAGTTACTAGTGAGTGGGCAGTGTATTGCTCCTTTCTCTTGTCATGTATTTTCTATCTGATAAGCTTTGCTAAGTGTGATGGGAAAATCAGTTATCAAATCTTACTATATTTATTGTTTCCAGAGATTGTACTTCTAGGCTTTTCTCTAAGAAAGACATGTTGTAGTACTTTGAAATGTTTCTCTTCTCTGATAGATGGTAGGACTGAAGTCATTGGACATCTATGGGGGACATCAAGAGGCTTAAAACACTTGTAACAGGTGTTTCAGTTGAAAAGTTGAGGTTCTTGCCTGTTGTACAAGGCAGAGTGTGACACATGTCTCAGGGGAGGTATAAAGTAATTTGAAAGAGGGCCGGGCGTGGTGGCTTACGCCTGTAATCCCAGCAGTTTGGGAGGCCAAGGCAGGCAAATCACCTGAGGTCTAGAGTTTGAGACCAGCCTGGCCAACATGGTGAAACCCTGTCTCTACTGAAAATACAAAAATTACCCGGGGGTGGTGGCACGCACCTGTAATCCCAGCTACTCGGAAGGCTGAGGCAAAAGAATCGCTTGAACTCAGGAGGCAGAGGTTACAGTGAGCTGAGATCATGCCACTGCCTTCCCGTCTGGGCAACAGAGCAAGACCCTGTCTCAAAAAAAAAAAAGAAAAAAGATTATTTCCAATCAAATGCAGATGGAAAATACAGTATTCACAGAATGAGAAACTCACATATGCTGAGGGCTGAGTTTTCACACAATGAGGGTTCTGCATGGATTTGGGTATATTTGGGGGTCCTGAAACCAATTCCTCACATATACTGAGGGACAACTGTACACTGTTTCTTTTGGAGTTATGAAACGTTCTGGAATTAATTGGTGATAGTTGTACAACTCTCTGAGCACACTAAATTGGACACTTTAAAAGAGTAAATTTTATGGTGTGTGAATTATATCACAATAAAGCTGTTATAGGTCAGAAATAATGGCTCACACCTGTAATCCTAGCACATTGGGAGGCCAAGGTGGGAGGACTGCTTGAGTCCAGGAGTTTGAGACCAGCATGGGCAACATAGTGAGACTCTGTCTGTGAAAAATAAAAAAATTAGCCAGGCCAGGGACTAGAGCTCACGCCTGTAATCCTAGCATTTGGGAGGCCAAGTTGGGTGGATTGCTTGAGCCCAAGAGTTCAAGACCAGCCTGGGCAACATAGGACTCCGGCTCTATAAAAATACAAAATTTAGCCGGGTATTGTGGCACACATCTGTAGTCCCAGCTACTTGGGAGGCTGAGGTAGGAGCCTGGGAGGTTGAGCCCAGGAGGTTGAGGCTGCAGTTAGCTGGGTCACACCACTACACTCCAGCCTGGTTTAAAAAGCAAGACCCTGTCTCATTAAAAAAAAGAAAAAAAGCCAGGTATGGTGGCACACATCTGTAGTCCCATCTAGTCTGGAGCCTGAGGTGGGAGGATCACTTGAACCCAGGAGGTTGAGGCTGCAGTGGGCCATGATCACACCACTGTACTCCAGCCTGAGTGACAGAGAGAGACCCCATCTCAAAAATAAAGCTGTTATTTAAAAATCCTTTCAAGTGTGCGAACACATTTCTAATACTAATGTGCTGCAAACATTAAAAAATTTAACATGAGGCCAGGTGTGGTGGCTCATGCCTATAGCCCTAGCAGTTTGTGATTTCAAGGCAGGAGGATCACTTGAGTCCAGGAGTTTGAGACCAGCCTGGGCCACATGGCAAAACCTTGTTTCTACAAAAAAAATACACACACACACACACACACACACACACACACACACACACAGAGCTAGGTGTGGTGTTACATGCCTGTAGTCCCAGATGCTTGGGAGGTTGAGATGGGAGGATGGGCTTGAGCCTGAGAGGTGGAGATTGCAGTGAGTCGAGATGTTGTGCCACTATGCTTCCAGCCTGAGTGACAGAGCCAGATACTTTCTTCCTTTTCTTTCATATTTACTTAGCTTTTAGTACAGAAGACTGTGCCTGGTGATTTCAGGGTTGCAAGATGTGTATGACAAGATCCTTGCCATAAAGGAAGTTACATTCAAGTAAAGAAGATGAAAAATGGAAAGTTAGCATTTATTGAGCATTCCTTATGAATCAGGGATTATGGATGACTTTCACGCAATTGATCTTACTGAACAAATACCAAGGGCATAGGGCAGGTACATTAATAAGTGAAAAGCCATATAAAGTGCTGCAGTATTTCATTCATTCAGCAAATATTTATTGAAGGTGTACTATGTGCCAGGCACAATGATATATGCTAAGAACTGTTTTAGAGTTATCACTGAGCTTGCAGTTTTGTGGGGGATGTGTAAACAAATGGGCAGTTATAGTATAGTCAGATGAATTCCATAGTGATTAAGAATCTACTTTTAAGTACTTGCCTTTATGGAGCTGTCAGCCTAGCAGGGAGAGACAGACAAATAAGCACACAGTGTGCTATCCAGTATTTTGTGTACCATGATGGGAGGAGATATACAGGGTACTTGGAAGCTGAGAAGGAGCATCTAACTAAAGCTGGGAAGCTGGGAGGAAATTCTGTCTAGACTGAGATCAGAGGAAGAGTTGGAGTTAGCTGGGCAGTGATGATGGGGGAAGTGTATTTGAGGCTGAGGCATAATAGGGTTAAATGTCCATAGTTAAAAGAAGCATGACTCACTTGCAGTTTTCTGTGGCTGGATCAGGTACTGGGCTGTGAAGGGGCACAGGAATGAGACTAAAGAGGTAAATAGGGCCCTGATCACACAGGGATTTATAAGGCATTTTGTCATACCAAATCTAATTTAAAATCATAAGCTGAGATAGAGTAAGCTTAAACTTTTGGCTCAGATTTCTGCTCTGGATTTAGTTTTTGATGTTGTCCTGTTTCAGTTTGTTTCTCTTTAGTGTGAGAATTATTAATCATTTCACAAAAATGGAATGAAGTAATATTGTTGCAAAAAAAAAAAACCCTACACAAATAATAATAATTAAAAAAACCCTGTTTGTTAGTTAATATCCTTTGTACCTATATAACCAGATTTCCCAAGATGGTTCTTCAAGGGCACCTTGAAGCAAAAATACATGTCCCAAAGGAGGCCTCCTGGAGCGTTGTGCCAGGGTGTCTTAAATAGTGTATTTCTAGTTTGAAAGATTACTAGTATAATGAGTGGAGGAAGAAGTTGAGTCAGAATGGACTGAGGGAGACAAAGTGGTTTTATTGGTTTATCTATTCTTGAAGAAATCAGAGCTATGGACATCCCAGAATGGTGTGACAAAGTCTTGAGATTTCAAAATCTGGATTTGCTAACTCACAACATTTGTTTTAGGCTTGCATATAATGAAATATCATGTTTTCTCTTCTTTGTAGAAAGAAATTCAAGCCATGAGTCAATGCCATCATCCTAATATTGTATCTTACTACACGTCTTTTGTGGTAAAAGATGAGCTGTGGCTTGTCATGAAACTGCTAAGTGGAGGTGAGTAAAGTACAAGGAAATGTTATAAGTACCATGGTTTAAAAAGTTAATAAAATTTCCTTCTTTTTTATCCTGATTTTGTTTTCATGGCCATTTGCGTTTGAGGAGGTACTGAAAATATAGTATTTGCTGAAGATGCTAATCTGTGAGCCAAGACAGGCTTCATACCTTGCATTTGGTTCATTTCGTTGTCATGCTGCTTAAATCTCTCAATTTTTTTTTTAGAGGCAGACTGGCTCCGTCACCCAGGCTGGAGTGCAGTGGTACAATCATGGCTCACTGCAGCCTCGAACTCCCGGGCTCAAGTGATCCTCCCGTCTCAGCTTCACAAGTAGCTGAGACTACAGGCGTGTACCACCGTGCTCAACTAATTTTGTTATTTAATATAAATTTTTTTTGGAAACGGGGTCTCACTATGTTGCCTAGGCTCATCTCCAATTCTTGTCTTCAAGCGATCCGTCCACCTTGGTCTCCCAAAGTGCTGGGATTACAGGTGTGAACCACTCACTGTGCCTGGTCTAAATCTCTCTTAATTTAGGATGCTTCCTTCTTGCCTCCTCCCTTCCATGATGTAAACTTATTGAAGAGTCTAGTCCAGTTACCTTGTAGAATGTGCCATATTCTGGATTTATCTGATTATTTCTTCTTGGTGGCATTTAACTTGATCTGTATTCCTCTTTTTCTTGTATATTGAAAATTAGATCTAAAGGCTTGATTAAATTCAAGTTAAATATTTTGGGGGAGGATACTTCTGGGTGTTGCTGTGTACTTCATAGTGCATTATGTCAGGAAATTGCTATCTGGTTGTCTTTTTAATAGTGATGTTAGTTTTGTTTGCTTAAGATTAGGACAACCAGGCCTCTCCATGGAAAAGGTAACATTTTCCCTTTTGTAGCTGGCAAGTAATCTGTGAGACGATACTTTGTGAGTATCTAAAGAGTGTCCAGTTCTCCATAAGTCTTTTGTCTAATGATTTTCACCTTCATTGTTTGAATCCTTGTTTGAATCAGGGGTTGTAAAATGGTGATTTTTCTTACAGCATCATTTCTTTTATATTTGTAAGCTGGCATCCTTCTGTGTAGAACTTTTCCTTATCAACCGGGACACTGATTAATCTGTACTCTAGTTCCTACTGAAAAGGCGAGATGAATAATTGATTTTTTTTTTAAGTACCAAGTTTTGGAGTAAAAATTTGGTCTAGTAATCATCTGCAATGGTAGGAACCGAGAGGGTTTAAAAATTTCCCTTTTTCCAGTTGGGTAGGACCTGCACTTTTTGGAGTATTATTAAAGGCCCAAGGATTTTTATGTATTCAGTGTCTTTCCATCAGTTATACTCTATTCTTTCTGATACGCAAGTTGTCCAAAATTTGTCAGTGGGAGCCCTTTCAAAGTCACTCTTGCGTCCTCTTGATATGAACCCATCAGTCTTTCATTTTATCCTTACATTTTAATTCAGGATTCCCTAGGGTTATATTTATATTCATATTCCCAGACCCTGAATCAGCCAATATTCTAATGAGCTTTGATATTTTTTACTCGGGAATGTACTTACAAGAAAGCATAACTTGGATGCTTGGAGTGCTCATTACTACTCTAGTGTCATTGCTTCTAGAGCTTGGAAATATAGTAGGTTAAAGATAAATCATAATTTGACATTAATATTTCCAATACAAGTTTAATATCCTTGACTTTTTAAACTTCTTTAATATTATACTTGAATCTCTTTTCCTCTACACAGAAAATCATGATACCCAATATTAAGATAATTACTGAAGTGCTTTATCTTGTAATATATATGTAGTTATTTCTGCTGTATTCTTACAATAAGATATGAATATTGCTGATTGTAAACTGTGAAACCTTGGCACGTATAGATTGAACATTTTGTTATGATTACCCGAAAGCCCCATGCCATTTGGTAAATTAGTCATTTTACCAAGGCATGGATTTGAATCACATGGCAGCAAGACTGGTAGGACTAGTGAGTGATGGAGCCACACTGGCCTTCCTGTCACTATGCTGCTTGGTTTTGGCTTGCATGTGTATTTTGTGGGGGAGTATGATTTTCCATCCTAAAATGTAGAGTTACAGAAAAGAGAATCCATGTTTGTTTAGTTTGCAATTTTATTGCTATATCTCACTGAACACTATACTTCCCCAGAGAGACTATAAACAGCATAGACTTTAGAGTTAAATTTCAGTGTTTCTACTTAGCACTCGTATGTCATTGGGAAAACTCTTTCATCTCTTTGAACCTTTTTACTTATCTGTTAAATGGGGATACCTTTCTGCATTTCAGAGAATTGATGAGGAGCAAATGAGATGATATATGTAAATCGTCCACCACTGTGCTGACATGTAATAGGTGCACAATAAATTTTAGTCATTAATAGTAATAATCCCTTGCTATTTGATGCTTTTCAGTGTAGCCAGAATCACCTTTTTATTTCAATCCCATTAGTGACACACTGGAGAAACTGGATTGCTTTGTTAAAGGCCCTGTTCATATGATGGTTGGAAGCCTTGCTAACACCAACCACCTTTCTTTTTTTTTTTTTCCCATTTATTTTATTGCATTTTAGGATTTGGGGTACATGTGAAGAACATGCAAAATTGTTGCATAGTAACACACGTGGCAGTGTGATTTGCTGCCTTCCTCCCCATCACCTACATCTGGCATTTCTCCCCTTGCTATCTCTCCCCACCTTCCCACCCCCCACCGTCCCTCCCCTATTTCCCCCCAACTGACCCCAGTGTGTAGTGCTCCCCTCCCTGTGTCCATGTGTTCTCATTGTTCAACACCTGCCTATGAGTGAGAACATGCGGTGTTTGATCTTCTGCTCTTCTGTCAGTTTGCTGAGAATGATGGTTTCCAGATTCATCCATGTCCCTACAAAGGACCCAAACTCATCGTTTTTGATGGCTGCATAATATTCCATGGTGTATATGTGCCACATTTTCCCTATCCAGTCTATCTTCGATGGGCATTTGGGTTGGTTCCAGGTCTTTGCTATTGTAAACAGTGCTGCAATGAACATTCGTGTGCACGTGTCCTTATAGTATAACGATTTGTAATCCTTTGGATATATACCCAGTAATGGGATTGCCGGGTCAAATGGAATTTCTATTTCTATGTCCTTGAGGAATCGCCACACTGTCTTCCACAATGGTTGAACTAATTTACACTCCCACCAACAGTGCAAAAGTGTTCCTGTTTCTCCACATCCTCTCCAGCATCTGTTGTCTCCAGATTTTTTAATGTTCGCCATTCTTACCGGCGTGAGATGGTATCTCAATGTAGTTTTGATTTGCATTTCTCTGATGACCAGTGATGATGAGCATTTTTTCATATGTTTGTTGGCCGGTATGTCTTCTTTTGTAAAGTGTCTGTTCATATCCTTTGCCCACTTTTGAATGGGCTTGTTAGTTTTTTTCTTGTAAATCTGCTTTAGTTCTTTGTAAATTTTGGATATCAGCCCTTTGTCAGATGGGTAAACTGCAAAAATTTTTTCCCAATCTGTTGGTTGCCGATTCACTCTAATGATTGTTTCTTTTGCTGTGCAGAAGCTGTGGAGTTTGATTAGGTCCCATTTGTCTATTTTGGCTTTTGTTGTCAATGCTTTTGGTGTTTTGGTCATGAAGTCCTTGCCTACACCTACGTCCGGAATGGTTTTGCGTAGATTTTCTTCTAGGGTTTTTATGGTGTTAGGTCTTATGTTTAAGTCTTTAATCCATCTGGAGTTAATTTTAGTGTAAGGTGTCAGGAAGGGGTCCAGTTTCTGCTTTCTGCACATGGCTAGCCAGCTTTCCCAACACCATTTATTGAACAGGGAATCCTTTCCCCATTGCTTGTTTTTGTCTGGTTTGTCAAAGATCAGGTGGTACACCAACCACCTTTCAAGATGGTGGTCAAGCATGGTTCTTTCTGTATGGAGAGATATGGGAGTATTAGGTAATACTGTATCTTTCATTATTGATCGCCTATAACATAATTTTTTTATTTGTAATTTATAAGAATATGTAATACAAAGGTTTTAATGTTTTGCAAAAAAGTCCTCTGATGAATGGGAATAAATTGCTTAATTCTCCTGTCTGTACCTGTATGCTAGCCCATCATTCTTTCTGCTACTCCTAAGAAGAATGGCCTTTTTTTTTTTTTTTTTTAAGAATTCCTGTTCCTCTCTCAGTGAGTATATGTCTTGATCGTGGAAGGGGTAGGACATGTAAATGGGTGGGATGTCTTTTAAATGTGGCTCTTTGTCCCTTTTGGTCTGGTCTTAAGTTTTCTGGGACATTACCCAATTTTTCAAGACTAGCACTTGGCAGATTTCTTGGAGGATAATTTTCAAACATGTTCCATTTAGTCATAACCTTTTTATAAGTGCTTATATTTTTATGAGTCAACATGATCATTATATCTAAACTTTTTATTTTATTTTTTGAGATGGAATTTCGCTGTGTTGCCCAGGCTGGAGTGCAGTGGCATGATCTCAGTTCATTGCAACCTCTGCATCCTGAGTTTATGTGATTCTCCTGCCTCAGCCTACCAAGTAGCTTGTACTACAGGCGTGTGCCACCATGCCCGGCTGATTTTTTTGTATTTTTAGTAGAGATGGGGTTTCATCATGTTAGCCAGGATGGTCCTCAGCCTCGTGAGCTGCAGTGCCCAGCCTAAACTTTTTAAATATTAAAAATTTTGCATTTGTTTTAGGAAAATGAAATCTTGCTTTTTTTGTTATAAAATGAATAAACATTTAAACTGAGTTGGTACATTAGGCAACATTTAGAAAACAAAAGTTAGAACTAAGCACAGCTTAATTTTTTTTTTTTTTTTTTTTATAAAGATGGGGTTTCACGATGTTGGTCAGGCTGGTCTTGAACTCTCGACCTCAAGTGATCTGCCCACCTTGGCCTCCAAAGTGTTTGGATTACACTCGTGAGCCACCACGCCCAGCCAAATTTTTTTTTTTTTTTTTAAACAGGAGGAAGATGTGTCAG